GCTTGTTAGCACCGTGACTGCCACCACCAGCCCCCACCCCCACCCCCTCCACTCTTCACCTCCCCACCCCCACCCCATCCCACCTTCACCCCCCCACCCCCCCCCACTCCATCCCACCTTCACCCCCCCACCCCAAGTCTCCGCCTCTACGGAGTGGGAATCCTGGCGGCGCTGGCGGGCGTCCCTGAGACAGCAATTAGAGACCAGGACGCTCCTGTGCCCTCAGCAGCTGTCAGCTGATATTGTTGCAGAAACTAGGCCCAGCCAGCCTTCCCGATTCCGGACCATAGACAGTTCCTGAGCGTTAAACACTGGGTAGGCTGCAAGCTGTGCCTAGGTCTCCTGGGTCTTTTTCTTTTTCTCTCCTCCTCTTCTCTTTTCTCTCCTTTCTCTTTCCTTCCTTCCTTCCTTGATTTCCTTTAGAACTTCTCTGATAGGTTTCCTGGCCATATCAGTGTTTTCTAGGACCTACAGAACGAAGCTTTCCAAGATTTTTTCTTATTAAATCTGCTTTAAGAAGGAAGGAAGGGAGGAAGAAAATACAGTGTTTACACATTTTAATACCTGCCAGATGGGATATACTTTTCTGTACCAGGTTTTCATTACAACTTGTGTGTAAAGAGTTTTTTGTTTGTTTTTGTAAGAATATGTTTTATGGGACTTTTAATTTTGCCTTTGGCTTAATGGTGAACAAGGACAAGAGTGGATATGCTTTGGGAGAAAATAATGAATTGTTTTCCGTTGATTCCTGGCATTTTAAAAATATGATCAATTTTTCTTTCTTTTACTTAGAATTTGAATATTAAGCTATCATTCATTCAGTCAGAAATACACTGAAATCTATGAGCTGCGAAACACTGTGCTGGGGCAAGGGAGTAGGAGAGAGTAAGATACTATGGTGCTTGGGGCAGATGGTATATTAGTTATTTATGCTGCATAACAAACTATCCCAAAACTTAGAAGCTTAAAACAGCACACACAGACTTTCTCACATTCCCCTCGGGTCGGTAATTTAAGCAGGCTTAACTGGGTCCTCAGCTTCAGGGCGCTCACAGGGCTGTGGTCAAGTTGGGACTATCTCCCATGTCAGCTGGGTAGGATTCGCTTCCAGGCTCATTCAGTGCTTGGCAGTGTTCAGTTCCTGCAGGATGGCTGGACTGGGGGCCTCCGTCCTTGCTGGCTGTCAGTGGGAGGATGCCCTCAGTTCCTTGCCATTTGGGCCTCCCCAACACCGCAGCTTGCTTCATCAAACCCAGCAAGAGAGAGTCTGCTCTCAAGATGGAAACCGCAATCTTTTATAACCTAGTCATGTGACATTCTTGTCACTTACAAAATATTACTTTTAAAATTACAATATCACTTGTGCTATATTCTGTGGTCAGGAAAGTCACTAAGTTCAGCCTCCAGTTAAGGGGAGGGGATTGCACATGGATGTGAATACCAGGAAGCATGGTATTAGGGGGTCATCTTAGAAGTCTGGCTACCATGAATATTAAATAATTCACAATTATTCAACATCAATTGTGAAAAGTATCCAAGGAAAGATGTGTTGAAATAGCGTATAATCAGGTTTGTATAAATGGCTGTAGAGTCAAGGAAGGGCTTTATTGAAGAACTGGTTTGAGTGAGTGTTAAAGGATGAGCAGGACTTGACTAGGTGAAGGAATGAGTGGGAGGAAATGACCATTTAAGACTATGAGGGAGGAGAAGACCAGAAAAATCAGAGCCACTGGGTGAGCCTAATGAGATTTGGCAGGGCTAGATGCTGTACAGTTTTATGGGCTTTGATCTATCCTAAGAGCTGTCCCAAAATGTGTGTGATTTTAGGGACTCAACATCAAATATTTATGGGCCACCTTTTTAGCACTCTGCCAAAGGATGATACAGTTTCAATTCTCAAGGAGTATCATCTATAACAGGGGTCCTCAAACTTTTTAAACAGGGGGCCAGTTCACTGTCCCTCAGACCGTTGGAGGGCCGGACTTTAGTTTAAAAAAAAACTATGAACAAATTCCCATGCACACTGCACATATCTTATTTTGAAGTAAAAAAACAAAACGGGAACAAATACAATATTTGTATTTGCATGTGGCCTGCGGGCCGTAGTTTGAGGACCCCTGATCTATAATAAATATGAAACACTTACATATGAAACAATCAATAAGCAATTCAAGATATAGAACAATTAGTGTGACCAGTAAAACAATAGTATTGACATAAAGTATGAAGTTGTGTGCTACAAATACAGAATGGCATGTAATTAGCTAATTGTTTAAGTGCAAAGTGTTCATTCTGAGCACTATTGGTATTTAAATCAGAGATTCATGTAATTTTTTAAAAATTTCAGCTTTATTGAGTTTTTTGTTGTTGTTGGAGAGATTCATGTAATTTAATATGAGTGTTGCTTAAGTAAGGCTGTTATGTTCAAAACACCGAAACAAATGAAGTCCTGCCTTGAGAGTATGGTAAGAAATTGTACAAAGCTAATGTAATGTATCAAATCTCAGGTAAATATAAGTGAGCTTTTTAAAAATACAGATTTTTATTGATTTCAGAAAGGAGGGGAGAGGAAGAGAGAGATAGAAACATCAATAATGAGAGAATCATTGATCATCTGCCTCCTGCATACCCCCTACTGGGGATACAGCCCGCAACCCGGGCATGTGCCCTGACCAGAATCGAACCTCGACCTCCTGGTTCATAGGTCGATGCTCAACCACTGAGCCACACTGCTGGGCATAGTAAGCTTTTTAACAATTTCAGAAGGAAGGGGAGATTGCAGCAGGTAGTGCTGGTCTAGGAAGACTTCTATTTTTAAAAAAATATTTTTTATTATTATTGACTAGAG